AAATCATGTTGAAAAATAGACTTTTTCTTACTCAAAATTATGAACTCTATCTGAATTCGAGCAAAGAAAGTCCAGCTGAAGCTCAATTAACGATACACGAATAATTCTGAGCTCAAATGCCTGCTTTATTGTCTATGCTCGACTGTGTTCAGACTGTTTACTTGTGAAGTCGATGCTTCGTCAGCGTAAAAATTTGGATCAATAACAGCTTTTTTAGGTCTACGCAATGATATTTTGTAAAGAATAGGAAAAGGTATGTATTAGGATTTTCAAGAAGCTTTCTATAATTATCAAAAATCTTATATTCAGATTCAACGATTTCTAAGTGAAGAAATTGGTTTCTGAACAAGAGAAAGATATATATTCACATGCAATGCGAAAAAAAAACATACTGTAGGTGGAAGCTAAAAACTCGATAGATAATCTAAAAGTCCTTGCAACAAGTGCTTCTATCATCAGAGTCCTAGAGATGATGATCATTAGAAGAAGAACAGAAGCCATCGTGATTAGATTTCCATCATTATAGGCAACCTATTACCTACCCATCCTTCCTCAATACTATTCATCATATACATTGTCTTTTTATTTTCATTTGATTTTTTGCTAAAAAAAAAGACAAATAGTGTTTCAAAATCTGTTTTCTGTCTGAAGGGTGTGGGTGTGGATGTTATTAAAACGAGACACATCCACATCCATATCCACACCCCACACCCACCCTCCCACATCCACACCCACGCCCACACCCCACCCACACACCCACACCCAAAACTACTTTTTGTCTATGTCATTGTGTTGTTGTTCGTGTCTTTGAATAAAATTTCTTTTTTTTTCGTTTCATGAAAATAAAACATTTAACAAATAAAAATCTTCAAAAACAAAAAAAGAACAACAAGAGACAATATCGATTTTATTGTATTTTATGTAAATTAATGCCATGTTCAGTTAAAATAGCAAGAATATTATCATCAAATTGAACAGCATAGTGAGGTGATGGTTTATATGTAATACTTTGTTTAATATATCCTTGATTATTAATATAAATAAGACGTGTTTGAGCAATATCAACAATTAACCAACCTTTTTCATTTAATGAACAACATGATACAATATTGATTTTTTCATTTATAGAAAGTGAAATAGTCCAAAGTTGATCAAATGTTAATATTGAACGCATATTAAAATGTCTTTCATTAGTTAAATCATTTAAAATAATTAAAGCTAATAAATCTTTTGTAGATTTCATATGTTCAATATATTCGTTATTTGAACAACATATTTGTTGTCGTTTTAATAAAAAATTATTTTGTTTTAAAATATATTCATATATTGTTGTATTTAATTGTTGTGTAGCTAAAAATAAACTTTTATCTGAACATGTACAACAATACCAAAATTTATTTAATATTGATAAATTTTTAATTTGTTCAATTATCATTGTTTGTTCATCTAATGTAAATATTCCATTTTCTGAAACAAGAATAAATTTTGAAAGATTATCAAATATACACATATCCCATATACAACCATATTCCCATCGAATTTGTTTAATTATATTTAAATTTTTATCATATAAACATAAATTTGATTGTTGATTAATTAAAAAATATTTTGAACTATTTGTCATTACAATAGAATTATCTGTTATTAAATTTTTTGTTAAAAATAATGATTTAATTGTTGAATTTAAATTAAAATTTTCTATTTGAATAAAATTTTCATCAAGAATTAATGATGGTATATTTAATTGAAAATTTTCTTTTAATATATGTTCAATTTCACGTTTAACAGCATTTATTGCAGCTTTTAATGAATCAATTTGTTCTTGTGTTGTATTTTGTTCACGTATAAGTTGACTAATTTTTAATTTAATCCATTCAATAACTTGACGATTTTGATTTAATATTTCATTTGGTATAATTTTATTATCTAATTCTTGACATTTTTTTTCATAATATAAATCAATTGTTTGATGTGATTCATGTCGCCATTGATCAAGTTGTTGACGATATTGTCCACGAAAATATTCCGATAATTTATTTATATCATTTGTTAATTGATATAATTGAGATAAATATATATCATTATGATCTTTTAAATGTTCAATACAATAATTATTTTTACAACAATAACATAATACTCTTGATATACGTGGACATTCAGTTATTGTACAAGGATATTGAGACATCCTTTTTTGTTTGTTTCTAACTTGATAGACAAAATAAAAACTATAATAGATTTGTTATCTTCTCACTTTCTAAAATAAATATGTTGTCTTCTGTTCGTTAGTCTTATTTTTTTATGCAAATACTAAGAAAATCATGCACATTGTATTGACTATAAGAATATGACGTGCCCAGGCGGGCAAAAAATAAGGGGTGATACCCGGTATGACTAGTCTAAATTGTCCGTAGTACCCGTCTGGACTAGTCTAAAATGTCTGCACTGTCATTTAGACTAGTCTGAAACGATTTGCAGCTAGTCAGGACTAGTCGTCTTCACGAGCAACGTCCTGCATCTAAAATAGACTTGTCCAAAACATGCTCTAATCTTGTCATGGCTAGTCCGTTTTGTATGTGCATACTGTCCAGACGCGTCAACTTGAAGGCAAAAGCTAGAAGAAACGGAGGCGATAGGTGGATTCGAGCATTCAAGCCGACAATATTAGATACCTGACTAGTCTAAACTGTTTTCAATAGGTAACGCGAACTAGTATGAAGAGTCATCTATATTGGTCATGGCTAGTCGTTTTCGAGAAAGTAATGCCAATTCTGGTCCAGGCTAGTCTATCCTTCCAAACAGTCTTTATTGCTTGGACTTAATCATTCGGACAATTCGTTTAGACTAGTTTGTATTGGGACTAGAACGATGTATCTAACGAGAGTTGGCTATTTATGTCCTTTTAAATTTTTAAATTGTAATAACAATCAGGAATAATTTTATTCGAAAAATTAATTTTAATACATTGATATGCGGACATTATTTTATTTCAATATAAAACCTAATGATTTGAATTTAAAAATAGATTTAAACGATAGAATCATAGTTCATTTTCAAATTTAAATAGGAAATATTTTAAATTAAGATAAACATAAACCATCAGATGAAAAGCAAGATCTTTTTTTGAAATATATATTATTATTTTTATTTAAATTTTAATTGTTTTTTTCCAATAGAAAATAATTTTTTCCAAATGTCGATAATCAAAAAAAAAATTCTGTTGAAGGAAATTAAAAAAATTCTGAATTAATTTTGCTTAGCTTTATTTAAGTAATTTTCGATTTTATTACAAGTAGTTTTTATAAATATTAAAACTTGAGAAAACGCTGAGTCAGACCGTAGTAATTAGTATCTTCAGATGTGTATTGACATGTAAAAGTTGATCATTAGATAATATGGCTCAATCGGGTAGACGACGAGTAAGTAACAAATGGCATGCATGTACGAATCTAACTTTCTGCACATATTTCTATCATTTAGACTAGTCCGAACTAGACCTCTACATAAGACTGAAACCTAATAGATGTCGCGTCACAAGCGCTCTGCTTTTTTTGATTTAAAATCTGTTTTCGGACGGGATGCCCAGACGGGGTTAAAGATTCCAAACCATTTTGGACTAGCCATGTAGTAGGACTTTTTGAGAAAAAGACTAGACATGACGCATAGTCACGACTAGGAAAATGACTAGTCTTTTTACCCGTCCTTTGCTCACCTGGGGATCACAATCGAACAAGTATGTTTTGCGAATACTTCGTATGTATTTGTTTAAATGGGTGTGTGGATGTGGGTGTGAGTGATCACAAGATTGATATCCACACCCACACCCACAGCAACCACACCCCACCCCACACCCGCACAGATACATACCCATGCCCACATCCACACCCACACAGTCACATACCCACGCCCACATCCACACCCACATCCTCTCTTTTAGTTTTAGTTATGGACTAAATTAACTATTATTAAAACGCTTGGTGTCGCCTCACTCTAATGCACGGATGTAAGAAATCACCATATGTTTTATCTCTCTGAATTCTAACGAAAACCTGTTAATCATCACTCAACTTAGTTAATAATGACAAGATGCAAGAAAGTATCAGCCAAATAACAAAAGCAAAGGTTCGCTTCCTATGTAATTGATTTTTCGATTTTGAATATTAGCATCGTGAGCATAAAATACCAATGAGTTTTAAACTGCCCAAATGGTTTGAGTTGAAGCAGCAAGAGCAATAAATTATATGATAAATTGAGAGAAAAAAATGCACATGTAAATATTACTTTAATCTAACATTTATCATGTAATGTCAATAATTAACATGTCACAAAAAAAAATCCATGGAAAATATTTGAAATTCTCACAAACAAGAGAAAATAAAATAACATTTTCAGTGACAGGCGAAGAGACGGAAGAAAAAAATTTTGTTCTGATGAAATGTAATCACATCATTTAGAGAAAGTCAAAAGAAAAAGATGATTCATTTTCTCTTCAATACTTTTATTGACGGTTTTTTCTGTATTTATTTGTTTCTAGAACAGTAAAAGAAATGAATAGCTGATGAAAGAAAAAATTCTAACATAGTATAAAAAGAACAATGTCGATAACGGTAAACACAAATCGCTTTTTCTTTATAGATTTTCTGTGTTAACTACATCAGCTTTGTAAAATAAACTTCTTCTTTCAAGTTAAAATATGGGGCAAATGTTCACAAATGGAAGGTGGAATCACCCAAGGATAACAACAACAACACCGGTAGACGATAACGAGTATCACACTGTGACCATCGACCCGAAATTAAAACCAATTGAAATTGAAACTTTAGAAAATGGCTTTACTCCACTGTCACACAAAGACGTCGAGCAAATGTGGGACGTGAAAGTCACTGATCCATTTGATAAATCAGGAAAGAAGAACAAAGCAATGTATACAGTTACAAATGGTCCCTGTACCCGACTAAATTCAACAAATGCCGTTCTAAAGGCATTTCTTTTAGCTTACAATAATCATCAAGATTTAGTGCTTTCACCGGATGACATGTGGTTCATTGTCTGTCTTCAATATGCAAAATATGTCAATGATCATGCTGAACAATTGCGTTCATTATTTGTTGAACACAGTGAAGGCAAAAAAGTATTATGTGTGATGGAACCAGCATTTTTATCTGATGAAAATGACTGTAAGTAACTTATATTTTGGTTTTGTTGTTGTCTTATGGTCAAAATATGTTCTTTATTTATGTCGTATGTTCCAGGGTCATATTTCTTCGGTGCAATAAAGAGAGAAATCGATAAAAATGTCAAAGGAGAAATAAGTGAAATTTTAACGGCAAATTTTACCACGACAGGCGAGGTTGAATCACTACTCTCAGCTGCATGTATTATGCATACATTTCGACATTATTTCGATTTTCAACGAATGCGTTGCATTTGTGGAATAAGACAAGTACATTTTATGGGTGAGTATCCGGTTAAAAATATCTGAAAAATGCATTCTCGCCTTCGAGGTTTTTTCTTCTTAGCTGGCAAGTCAAACGTAATGTTGAAAAGCGTAGATATCAAGAGGTCACACCTTCCTTTCAACTCTATAGAGCCCCTTGAACTTCGAGGGAATATAGCAGAGAGAGCGCTTGCAAAAGTGGAAGAAGTATACAAAACCCTTTGTGTGATATCTAACAAGTTCTATAAAGCTTTAGGTTTACTCTTCTAATTAATTTTCATACTATCAAACGAATTTTTTGTTCAGAAAACAACAGAAGGAACATTAGAGGCCATAGGTAAAAAATTAGCAGCATTGTGTGTTATTACATATTGTGTTTCACTTTCCTACTTCTAATCATTTTGGTTTCGGACATTGAGCAGCGAACTGCGAAAAAATATTTTTAATCCACTCATACGACAGAACATACCGGAAATAGGAGGATTTCAATGTACTGTATGCCACAACTCCGGTAAATTTATAAGTCGAACTCGTCTCTTAATCTTTATAGTACCAGAGGAATTTTTCAAAAACCGAAGATCCATTTATGTTTTATTCTGCCAAGCGAAGTTCTAACTCGTATCCTGCCTCGCATCGTCGCTCTATAAAATTTTCGTCTCATCTTAAAAGATCTTGTCCGCTCCCCGAACAATAGAATTTCAAGTTCTGTTTCCGCGGTACGTAATGGAGAGGGCGTCCAGATTAGGGTGCGTAGTTCCAATTAAAACGATAAAAAATGTTTTCTTCTTCAAGTGTTTTGCTTTATGTTGAGTAAAAATAAATACAGTAAAATACAGTTTCAAAAATTTTATTCGAAAAAGTCTCAACTTAAGTCAATCTCAACTAATGTAGAAAAGATTCTTTGGTAACTTCGATTTACCATATTCCACTTGTTTTTCACAGAAAAAAATCAAAAGGTGGTAAAATAAATAATGCTTTTTTTTAAAGAAAGAACATTTATTTTCTTGAGATTGCCGAAATTTATGCTTTAGGCATAAGAGATGAGTAGACTTTCAGACAAAAATTTATGCCGGGTTCAGTTGTAGTTCGAATATTTTAGTTCCTAATTATTGTAAGGTGACAGATCAATTTTTTACGCAACACCATTTTTTTCTATAGGCACTCTTGATGATTGGAAACAATTGCGAATAAAAACAGGCAAATTGAAAACATATTGTATTGGTGACAATGGTAAAGATGATTTTGGTGCTTATATAGATGGAATTTTGCCGATATTTGATCAATTCATTGAAACGTAAGATATAGTCTTCTTTCTACGGTTTTCTACACATTTCTGACCCGTTTCTCTCGAAAACAAAATATGTAGAAAACGTGACTTTTACCGTATTTTCTTTTCAAATCTCACATAGATATCAAGGTCGTATCGATAAACGGTTTTGGATAAAAGTATATGATATAAAACGGGAGACATGGATAGATTACGCTGGTGGTGAGAATTCCATTGAGCATCTCACTGGTTGGGTGAAGAAGCTGTTTGCTTATAAACAGCATTCAAATGTTGTGGAAAATGTGACATTGGAAAACATTCATGTGCCAGTTCGTCTTATTAATCAAACTAAAGAAACAACAAAAGAGTGTTTCATTATCGGAGGATTTCATGGTATATTTTCAACCAAAGATTATAAACATCGACCAGTGATGAGTTTAACAGTCTTCGAGCAATTATAAAACTGAAGGAGTGCTTGAAAACGCATCACACATATCGGTACAGAAGAACAGCTTTAAGAGTGACTTTTGCTTACGTTTGTGATTTTCATTGTTTTATGATTAATAAACCTCTCGTTGGTTTTCTACTTAGGTCATCTCAAAAGTAGTGAGCCCTACATCTTAATTTCTTTTTGACTGCTTGGAGAAATTTTCTTTTCATAGGAACATATAGAGCGTCTTTTGCTTTATCTTTCTATGCTATTTGATCACTATTCAATCGATATCATAATAATAAAATTATCATAAAAACTGTTTTTGCGCAACTCCACCTGGTACCAATAGTGCATATTGTCATCTATGAATGTTTTTCTTTTCGTTTTTTGTATACTCAAAAAAGTGAGTACACTCTAGAATCGGTCAGTGTGTCCGTCCGTTTACACGATAACTTTGGTGTGGATGGGAGCGCAATTGTATGGATATCTTCAACCACACCCACACCCTTTTTCACAAACATTCTTTCATAATTCAATTTCATTAAAACAAACAAAATAAAATATTATTTTCAAGAAAATTTTATTTTCCCATTTATAATATACTTCATTTCAAATCATAATATTCATTGAAAAATGAAAAGTGACACAGACAAATAAACTCAAAAATCAAAACTCTCTCTGCTTATGCATGTTTTATCAATAAAATCTTAACTCACCTCTTATCAAAAGAATTAATTATAACTATTTAAGCTTGTCAATATGTTACCAGCAGCTTTACAATTAGTATCTAGACGATCAAATTAAGCTACCTCGACATGTAAATTTGAAATT